CGACAACGGATGAAAACTCTATTCAGCAGTCTTCACAATCTACAGTGAAAGTTACAAACTGACGACTTTCACACTCCACAACAGCTAAAGCCAGGATTACCGAACAACGGTCCTTGCAATGCAACACAGAAGAAGCTACAAGTCAAATAGCTCATTCTGAGACGCGGATGTCATCCCCGCGTCACCACTTTGGAAATGAAGGCGACCCCCGCGTCGCCAAGCCACAGTCTAAACACGGGCGACCCTCGCGTTCATAGGGGTCCAACCAACAATGACCCCCGCGTCTTCAAGCCACAGGCCAAACGTGAGCGACCCTCGCGTTCGTAGGGGTTCAACCAACACTGACCCCCGCGTTTCCAAGCAGGCAACAAGCTAAACGCGAGTGACCATCGCGTTCAATGCGACCCTCGCGTCGACAATGCACAAGCCAAACGCGAGCGACCCTCGCGTTCAATGGTGTTCAGCTAACACCCAACCTCGCGTCTCAATCCTAAGAAGCGAAGTTGGGTTCTGAACGCCAGATTGGGCGTTTGACTTGTTCAAACATGAGTCGAACGGTTTCAGAACCGTTTATCCCACGTTCTAAGGGATTTTCGCCCACGTAGGAGCGGATATAGGGGTCAGTTACAACCTCCTATCCCCCTATAAAAGCTCAACGAACCCAACAGAGCAAGGGGTTGGATTTTTGAACCACAGAGGTTGGATTCTAAAGATCTAAACTGTACAGGTTGGAGATTTGGCAGCAGTAAAATCCTTAAAGATAGGATTTTTGAATCAATCTCAGGAGATCAAATCTGAGGGGGATTCGTCAGCAACAGAATGACAGCTTGATCATTAACCGAATTTTCGGTTCCAACAACTCTACTCACAGAGTTCAAACTCGTTCAGAGTTCTTAAAAACTCATTCAGAGTTAAACACCAAACTTTCCACAGAAGTTCATTGTTCCCACGAGAGAGAGACAGTCGGATCTTCAACGGAGAGCAAGTTCGACGCAAGCAATCGAAGGAGACACTCTATCGCTACCGAGAAGAACCCAGTTTTAAACAAAGGGGAAAACCAAATTCGTTTTCCTCTCTTTTGTAATCAAGTTGTAATCGAGATCAAAGGAATCAAAGTCAAATTTTATTTATTCTCTTCTTTGCAATTTTTCCAACAAACAAACTCTATTCCCTCACACCTTCAATGGGGAAGACTTTGATCATTGGAGCAGCCGATTTGAAGTTTGGCTTAAAGTCTTTGATCTATAGAAAATTGTTGATGAAGGCTTTGATGATCCAGAAGATGAGACAAGTTTATCAGGCGAAAAGAAGAAAGCTTTGGAGGCAAATCGAAAGAAAGATATTGACGCTTGTAACCAGATTAATCTTGCAATCGAGAAGGCAGTGTACGAAAAAATTTCGAAGGCAAAAAATGCAAAGGAGGCATGGCAAATCCTTAACAAAACTTACAAAGGCAATGACAAAGTAAAAAAGGTTCAACTTCAAAGTCTCAGATCAGAATTCGAAGAGTTACAGATGAAGGAAGATGAAAGCATTGACGAGTTTTTTGCAAAGAGTGGTGTTAGGGGCACACCCCCTAACACACCACCAACCACACCCCCCTCTCCCATCGCTACAGTAAACCGGGTCCCACATGGGATTTTAAAAATTTTAAAATCTCATGTGGGACCCGGTTTACTGTAGCGATGGGAGAGGGGGGTGTGGTTGGTGGTGTGTTAGGGGGTGTGCCCCTAACATTATTTTTTTGCAAAAGTTACATCGGTGGTTAATCAAATGGCCACAAATGGAGAAGCTCTCGATGATCAAAGAGTGGTGGAGAAGATTCTACGTTCTATGCCTCAAAAATATTTTTCTCTAGTTACTATACTTGAAGAACTTGACAGAGTGTTCGTCTTGTCTTCATTCTCAACCATGATGTTCACATTGGTCATATTTGAAAGTAACTTCGTGAAGTTGTTGACACGCCCCCTAATGGAAACTCCTCTCTTCATCTTGAACTGGTAAAACCTTTTCTTCAAGTGAAGCCAATTCTCAATACTCTTCGTAAGGTACTTCTCATTGAGCGTTTCCCACAATCTCTTCGTCGACGTCTAGTTCATCACATCATAAATAAGATCAAACGTCAAGCATGACCGAATAACTCCACAAGCCTTACTGTTCATCTTCTTCCAAACATTGTCCTCCATATCAGTTGGTTTCTCTTGTAACTCAAGAATCTCCTCCAAATTCTGTACATCCAACGCATCCATCATCTAGCACCTCCACAAACCGAAATTAATATTGCCATCAAACTTCGGAACATCAATCTTAGTATTATTGATGCTCAGACTCTGTATCACATTCTTAAGAGATGACCCCGATGTGCTTGCTTCTCCCATGTTGTAGATCTAATTCTCCAAGTAAGAATCCTTCAGTGAATCCTTCGAACAAGCCTCAAGCCAAACCTGAAGCTTTGATATCACTTGTTGTGCGCAACAGAACTCGAATCACACGAAAGTGCACGAACAAGAACAAGATAAATCATAACCCAACCAGCAAAACACAATCAGCACAGCAAGACAAATGAATTTTACGTGGTTCAGCAAGTTACCTACGTCCACGGGGCAAGGAGGAGAGAGTTCTTACTATGAGAAATCAAGAGAATATAAATAGGGTTACAAATCTCACCAATAAGCCCTAGAACAAATCTTTCTAGATCTCTCACAAATTCTCCCACAATTGATGCATAATTTTCTCTCAAAAGTCTACTCAAATCGTCCTTGCTTAACCCTAATTAATCAGGTTTAGGGTTATTTAGGGTTATATATCAACAGCAAACAAAACGGGTCAGAAACCTGAACTTAACCCAGACCCAATACGCGGTTGACCGCCATGGTCGACCGCACACCCACGACAGAAAACAAATCGCCTGCAGGGTCTTCATGGTCGACCACGACGGTTGACCAAATCGATTCCCGAGACATAAATCGATTATAGGGTCTATACGGTCGACCACGACAGTCGATCGTCTCAACTCCAGAAAGCAGCTCAGGTCTCGTGCATGTTTCCGTTCAACTGTAGCTGACTCACGGTCGACAGCTTCCTAAACATTTTCGCTGATGAATTTTCTGGACAGTTATTCCCGTGTCTCACTTCTACATAAAAATACCTGCTCCGCAATCGTCTTTTTTTCCTTCATAACGAAAATTGAAAGTTGGGTGTTTTTAATATTTTGATGATGACGTATTTCGCTGGGCCGTTTACGAGTGATAGGTGGCTGAGGTCTTCACAAGCCACGTGAGACCAAGATTGCCGGGATTTTCGTTGGAAGTTTATGGCCGTCATGCGAGTGGCTGAATCTGGCCGGGCCTATTAAGAAATCAAGCAACGCCCAAGAATAAAAATAAAACGGGCCTGAAGTTTTGCTACCCGTAAGGCTATTGCACGTGAATTTGTGGTGGATAACAATAGATTACGTCAGTTTAGCCTATGGGTGACATCACGATTCACATGGGTCATTTATGATTTAAAAAATTTTAAGTTAGTCTAGTTAACTTTTGTATTTAGACAGACAAAGTGTTAATCTCATTCTCAAGTACCCCGGACGAGTTTTAAGTTCTCTCAGTAAGGTTGATTATTTCATAAATTATGTAGTGATATATATTAATTTTTTATAAAACGGTGGGGCCTCCTACCTATACAATCAATATAAAACTGGAATGTTTGAAAGGATGGTGATGCTTCAAAATTGTTAACCGTTTGTTCTCGGGTAAATTTGTGTATCAGATCTACCTGTTGGGAGCCCAGCCCATTGTTAACGTTTTTGTATAGGGACGTGACACAACAATATCGGTGTTTATTATTTAAAAATAATAAAACAGAAAAATCCTCATGGGCGAGACGCGAGATTCGATCCCGTGGCCGAGCATGACCCGAATCAGGTCCTAGCCAGGAGCGAGCCAGGACGAAGCCCAGGCCAAGCAATTTAAAAGAGGTCATAGTTCTTTTTAAGTTGCGAATTTGACTTATAATCATTTTCCATGCGAGACACTTCTTAGCAAATAAACATCTCAAAGTATTTAAATATTGTAGATAAACACAACACAATTAAAAAGAAGAGTGGTGTTAGGGGCACACCCCCTAACACACCACCAACCACATCCTCCTCTCCCATCGCTACAGTAAACCGGGTCCCACATTGGATTTTAAAAATTTTAAAATCTCATGTGTGGCCCGGTTTACTGTAGCGATGGGAGAGAATGGTGTGGTTGGTGGTGTGTTAGGGGGGTGTGCCCCTAACATTATTTTAAAAAGAACCGGATCTCTCTACGTATATATCCAAGAACACGGCGCAACATTGGGAACTAAAGTGTAGCTTTTAGAAATTTTATTGTATTTAAGTGAGGCAGTTTACAAGTCGAGGCTATTTACATCCCACATCGCGCGGTGTCTGATCCTTTCTTTTACTTGCAAATGATTTGCTGCAAACGCAGAGCAGAATGCGGCCGTGTCGACCGGTAGGTAAGCTCGTGTTCCACATTCGTCCGGTGCCCTTTCCCTTCGGACCCGTTCTTAGCCGCAGCGCGCGCAACGTAATTCGCCCGCGGCAACAACCGAAATCGTATTCGTTCGTACTCGTACCCTGCGAGCACTCGTACGCCCTCAACCTGTTCGACGAAAATTCCGCTGCCCCTAAAAACACTCGGCCACCGTCGCTCCACCTTCTCTCTTTGCCGCCGTCATCTTCCCCCTATTCCCCGCTCCAATAATCAGACACAGCAACAGTAATTTTCTTCGAACTTCCAACACCCTCCTCACTCCCTCCTCATTGAATTACTTATTGCCCCATCGCTCTCGCCAAATCAAAACGGCGCCGCAAAAAAACACAAAATAAAAAAAAAATGCGCCCATACCTCCTCCTCCTCCTCCTCTCCCTCTCCTTCTCAGTCACTTCGCCATGCGTTCCTCTACTCTCGGATCAGCGCCTCCTCTTCAAACGCTTCAATGCCGAACCCCAGAGTATGTGGACGCCCACGTTCCCGCCCGCCCACTCTTCCCGCCAACTCCCCCCGCCTGCTCGTACCCCATCAGCTCAACCACATCCTTCGCACCACACTACGGCCTCCCCCGAAGGCGTCCGCGTACGTTCCTCGGCCACCTTCGTCAAACTGCTCGGCCCCGTGGGCCACCATCGGTGCTCACTCTCGGTCCGTCTCGGATCCTTCGGCGACCAGTACGACGCGCATCGCGCCGTCTGGCTCGGTGGCGTCGAGCTCCTCCGCACGAGCACCGCTGAGCCTACTGACTCCGGCATATTCTGGCGCGTCAAGAAAGACGTGACCAAGTACCGGTCGGTCTTTGAGAAACCCAATAATTTGTCAATGATGCTCGAGAATTTAGTCAACGAGGAGTTTACTGGCGTTTACCACTGTAATTTGACCGTTGAATTTTACCCTGATGATGGTGATGATGATGAGGGTTATGTTGCTCGGAGAATGAATAGGGAGGTGATTTCATTGCCGAAGGAGAAGGAAATGGCGGGCGATGATGAGCCGGCTGATTTGATTCTGCCCATTTCGAACCTTAGCCCCGAAAACGGGTATTGGTTTCGAATTCAGAATAAATCCGATGATGTTCATTCCATGAACGTTACGATTCCGATGAATGCTTATCGAGCTGTTCTTGAGGTTTATGTTTCGTATCATTCGAATGATGAATTTTGGTACTCGAATCCTCCTGATTCGTACATTGAGCAGAATAACCTGACGACTCGGCGAGGGAACGGAGCGTTTCGTCGAGTGTTTGCTACGATTGACGGGAAATTGGTTGGCGCCGTTGTTCCTTTTCCAGTTATATTTACCGGTGGAATTAACCCGTTATTTTGGTCTCCGGTGGTTGCCATTGGTGCTTTCAATCTTCCGTCGTATAATTTGGACATAACACCATTTCTTGGGCTTCTTTTGGATGGAGATCCCCACGAATTTGCGCTCAATGTAACTGATGGCATTTCCTTCTGGCTCGTTGATGCGAATTTGCATTTGTGGTTGGATTCAGAATCTACGTCAGTGGCTGCAAAACTGGTTCAATACATTGCACCTCCTCTCTCCATTTCCCGTACCTCAAAGTTCTTCCACCTGAACGGGACTTTTAAGATCGATACAGGGAGCAAATTCCACTTCACCGGATGGGTAAATTCGTCATTTGGAAACCTGACTACCGATATCAATCATAAGCTGAAGTTCAAACATTTGCTTGTGTTCCTAAAGGATGGGAACTATACAGAAGTGCATGTGAAGGCTAAAGTCAAAATGGGTGTGAGAGTCATCAAACCCTCAGGATTGTTGCTATCTCAAAGAGCTCATAAGTACAAATATCCCCTTATGATTATGAGTTCGACTTTGGCTGGAGAAAACAACACGTACACAATGAACACTAGTCTATCTCATACATTATATGAAGAAAACTTATCATTGCATGGCGATAAAGTGCTAAGTGCGAAGGTTTTGAGTGATTCGCAGAACGCCGATGGTTGGATGCTTGTTCAGGATCATAATGTTCTGTCAGGATCAGCTGCAACTAAGCAGAGTTATAAGTATAAAAGCAATGAGGGATGTTACAATAGGAAAGTGACTGCTGAGGACGGAGAAATTTTGGAGGATACTAAGACTACTGTATGCCCCCCTCCACCATCTTAATGTGTTTTTAGTGGATGCATTAGGTTTCTATGTCAAGGTTATGTGTTCAGAGTTTAGAGGGTGCTTTTGATCCTTTGTTGTACTCTATGTTGCTATCAGGTTTCAATAAAGCATGCCCCCCTTTTAGAGAAATCACACAAAGCAGTGCAGTTTTTTTACTTTTTACTGCATTTGATTGTCTTCAGCGTTCACTTTCTCCTTCTGTATTCTTGTTTATTATAGGGTGTGTATGCTGATACTTGATTTAGATTTGGGGATAGGAGTTTATTCTGTAGAATGATTTTGGGATAATTGTGGCAGCTTGTTATGGTTCTCTTAGACTGTAGGCTAGGATTAGGCATTTGATGATTAAAATGGATTTGGATTCTCTTAGAAGTTGTATCCCCATGAATGTCACTCATTTCTAATTTATATTCGAGGGGGCAAATCACAATCATTAATCAATTGATGGTTGGATCCAAAGTAACGGTCTCTCCACTACTTTCCGCTACTTTTTAATAGAGAGGATCTGAATACTATTAAAATAGCCTCTCCCTGCACTTTCTTTTCTATTGGCAGATTCTACTACAATCAGCAACTCGAATGACCCTACCTATCTCTCTAAATTATGAGAATCTTTGTAGGACAGGATGAGGGTACAAGGAAGTATCAAATTCAAAAGCATCCGGGGCCTTGAAGATCCTTGTTTATTTGGAGATCATAGCTTTGCAGGAACCAACCCTTCTATTATTTATGTACTGTAAGTCTGTAATTGAATTTCTTATATAACCTCAAGCATTTACATTACAAACTGGAAATATTGAAACTCATAGGTGTTCGTTTCGAATCCTATAATTTTAAGATATGGATTTCACCATGGGATTTAAAATCCATAGGTTTTTTAACATGGGTTGAGATTTCTAAAATGTTGTTAGTTTCATCAATATTTTAGAATATGTAATCCTATAATTTGTATTTTGTTTGTTTCAAACTCAAATTGTAGCATTATAAATTTTAGAATTTGAAATCTAGCTTAAATCCTCTCTCAAAGAAGGGATTTCACAAATGCTACAATATATTAGTTTTTAATTATTTGGGTATTCAATATCCCAAAATTTATTTTGAATAAAATAAAGGTTATGGAATCCATAAACTCAAAAAAAAAAAACCACTTTTTCATCCTAGAATTTGTAATCCACCGCTATATCCCAAAAAAAAGAGTTGAAACAAACACCCCAGAATATATTATGTCTGCTTCTGTTCATCTGTGTTTTCTCTGGTGTAGAAAATTTCAAAGGAAACCAACCAGTTGGTAATATTAAAACATGCTGTAGTTTTCTCAAAAGTAGACCCACATTGGTCCGTGACTGAATCATAAAATGTTACCAAATCTTTTGTGCCTGCTCAACGCACAGCACACAAGTTTTGATGTCGTACAATGATTTTCTTTTATCACAACAGTACAACTTCCATACTCTGAACCTAAAGATACAGTTTCTACTAATGATGGCTTCACATTTTCATGATATTACAAGGGATGGGTGCTATCTTTAAGTTCATGAATCACGAAAAGGCATTTGATATTCTTGTTTCGGGTTCCTTTGTCCAAATTTGTGCCTGAATATTAAAATACCTACATCACCACCCCAATAGGAGGACATCATGATTAAAATGAGGAGGGAATCTTGTACATCCTAATAATCAATTAGAGAAACATGTAGGCCATGAAGATAAAGGAGATTATCACATAAGTAAAGGGCAGGCAGAGATAAGACATACATGATGGAATAGCCAATTATTTTCTTTACGTAAGTTCGCAGCACGCAAGGATCAGGATCCAAAGTGTACTGGAGCCCAAAATAAATTTTACATTTACATTGCATGCAGGAAAGAGTATTTACGAGTTACCACGCATCTCCCAGAAAGACATTAAAGAATAAAGAGAGACATTTCCCTTTTTTACAATTTTTTAAGTTCTGCTTCAGCAATCGGAAAGGTGTTTTCTTTCGAAGGATCAATTCGGCAAACACAATAAATCAGATTTACTGAAATCAATTTCGATCCAAGTTCATAATCTTAGTCCGACAACTTCATTACCTGGAGCTAATACAGTTTTAACCTATCCCGATTGTGGCCAATAATTAGGCCGTAACCAACCCAAACGGGCATTAATTGGTTTGAAATAAACCAAATTATGTCAGGCAACTAAATTGAATCTATCTCAAAACTTGAATCAAATAAAAATAAACAAATATTTGTTCTAAACCAGCTTTAATTGAAAATAGCTAAACTTTTTTTTTAATAGAACAGTAATAGCTTCAGTATGTTAAGCAAATATTGAATAAAATTTGCACAACTTCGAGCCTTGTGATTTAAGTGAGCCATATCTTCCTTCAGGTTCTTATTCTGTCAAATCATTTTACGATCTCATAACCTCGGGTGGAGTTACCTCTCGCTATTACAAATTCATTTGGAACTCCCCTACTCCTTTGAAGGTTAAAGTGTTTTTCTGGATTGCCAGCAAACACAAGTTGAATACCAGGGAGAATCTGGCTGCTAAAGGCTGGGAAGGCAGTCTGCTCTGCCCTCTTTGTAATGAGGTCATCGAATCTCATGATCACATATTCACTAGGTGTGCCATCTCGTCTTCAATGTGGTCTCTTCTTCTTCCACTCATCCCATCTATTGATAGGCCTCAAAACCTGGCTGACATGATCTCTCAATTTCACTTCAGCAACCAATCAGGACATCATTTCATTATGGAGAGTCCTTTTGCCGTGCTTCTGTTGGTGTTTATGGAATAGCCGCAACAACTTCGTCTTTAATGGGACTGAAGTCAGTCATCGTCGCATTGCTTCTAATGTAGCTAGACATGTTCTATTTTGAACAGGTACTAATGCTAGTAAATCTGGACCTAAGCTTCATCAAGCGACAATTAACCTGGGACTGAAGCATATCGCACAATCTAACAGCGATGCTGATGTGGGTGATAACTTCTCAACCGCAGGTTGATCCTCCTATCCTCTTCTCTGTTGTGTTCCTGGCCTCCTTTTGAAGACACTGAAGCTCTCAGCCTTTTTTTTGGAGCTTTTCGCATTTTGTTTGATGCTTGGCAGATGTTGAAGCTTTTAGTCTATTTTGGAGCAACTGTAGTTTTGTTTTGATGCTTCTCCAGTGCTTATGTGTAGCAAGTCTTATTGAGTCTAGTTTGGTCTTTGTCCACACTTTGGTTAGACTTGTATCAGTTGTTAGATTGTAATCTGTTACTAGAAACATCTTTTATATATAAAATAGAACACTAGTCATAGCTTCAGTATGTTAAGCAAATAAAATAATTACAAGTACACAACTCTATAGCTCATCAGGATATTCTGAAAGGACGAGGTACCTTTTAAACACAACTTAAACGCAACGTCGACAATCGGGTGAGCAGCATGGTTACAAGTCCTTGAGATATTCTCGAGTTGCAAATATTGAATAAAATTTGCACAACTTCGAGCCTTGTGATTTAAGTGAGCAAAAATCTACAAGAAGGATGTGGGGAGCAATTCTTAATCCAATTAGTATTATTTATAACATCTTATTCAAGAATCACCTTCAAACATTCTTAATTAATGCATGATTCCAATCCATGTAACATAGCTAATGCTTCTGCTGCAGCTGCGCGGATGCCCGTGAAACTAAAAACTAGCTCTACAAAAACCAGTTTATACTTACCAAGACCAAGTAGACCGTCACTACTCTGGTTTGGTTTATAAATTGCCGAGCTGACGCTTATATAGCCGTAAACCTGTTCACATTTTGAGTAGAAAGTCTGCAGCCCTGCGAACCTGAAGCAACATTATTGACAGAAGATAGGATGATAACATTATTGAACAATAGAAGAACCAAGCTGAAAATGATAGCTCCAAGTTGTAACACTTTGAGAAATAAAAGATTACAAACATAACCTGACAACAAAGGTAAAGACACTAACATTGGAAAATAACCGTGGTTCCAAAATGTCTAGTACAAAAACATATGTGAACTAGAGAACTAAGAATCTACATTCAGTAGTTGGGAAAAGACACCCAAAACCTTCCAAAATTTCAAAACAGTCAAAAGTGTTACCAGGAACATAAAGTGTATTACATCTCACTGCAAGAAAAAAACAAAGCATGAGAAGCCACATACAACATATCAAATAGCTGATCAATAATCCACAAGTAAATTCGATAATTGGTGGACAGGAAGTTTGTTAATGATTTTGACCTCTTCAATAATTTAGAAGAATATTGTGACAGCATAGTTATGGGCAGAGCTGAAACCTAAATGCTAAAAAGTTCAACAATTTTTACACGAGATCATACTGCAACATATTTTGCATAAAAGGGACTCATCTATTGCTTTGCTTTTGTAAGATGGCAATGATCTCTGAGAACTGAGGGCGTTTTGATGGGCAATTATTCCAGCACTTCATCATTAATGACCTCAAAACTTGAGGGCAGTCTCTGGGAATCTCAGGTCTCAATCCACATGCAGCAATGCCGACTGCTGCTTGAACCGGCGAGTATGAAGAGTATGCAGCCTCACCGGTTACCATCTCCCAAATCACCATGCCAAAGCTATACACATTGCTCATCCAAGTCTCTGTCACAGTCTCTGGATCTCCAGCAATGATCTGTGGATGTAAAAATGTCGAAAATAGATTAGGCACTTGTTCTCTCAATTGAGCTAGAAAATTAAAGAGTGCATTTTTAAGTAACAATAATGGTTAATAATAGCTAATAGAACAGGATGGCTATATTCACCCACCCATTCAAAAGAGTTATGAAGTGAAAATTATGCCTAATTTTATATTTCTTGCAACTACTACATTCCAGTTGGGGGGAAAAATAAAATCCTCGAAATAGTAAGCAAACCCAGAGCCTAGATTAAAAAACTCCCGTTTGAAATCTGATCACACACCAATTTTGTTTCCCTTGGCCCATTGTTCCCAAGTTTAATTTCACAATTTCTAATAAAATTTCAAAAAATTGCAACTCCCTTGTGGGATTACCACATATAAAAAAGAAATCCTGCACACGCGGTAAATTCAACGCATAGGGTCAACTGAGCATCGAAAAAGCTCAAGCATCAGCTTCACTAGCATGGCATTTTTGACAAGATAAGATAAGGAACAGCTGATTGAATATTATAGCATAATTGCAGTGTAAATCAAGGGAAATCAATTTCATGACAAAAGGTTTCTAACAAAAAGTTTAGCATATTTGGAACGAGTAACTGGACTTGCTAGAAGAATCAAAATATTCACACTTAGTATTGGCAAAAAAAAAACATATAAAGAATAGAACTGCCTTCAATCCAGGTTCTGCTTAGTTCCTAATTTTATACTCTCTTAGATCTATTTTTGGTTCTTCAAGTGATTGCAAGCAAACCAACCCAAGTGAACAATTGCCGTTTATCGAGTCTATGTAAAACCGAACTTTCTTACTGAACAAAGAATTCATATAGAATCAAACTATTTCTCACCTCAGGAGCTAACCACCGATACCCCGCAGTTTCATACTCAGTAACCTCCCCAACATTATTGCAAGAAGTAACAATCCCCATATCTCCAAGAAAAGCATTCCCTTGCCTGTCCAACAAAATCCTCTGCCCGTTCAAATCCCTATAAGCAGCCCCGTGGCTATTCATGAACATCAGCCCTTCGGCCAAATCCACCGCTATCCTGATCACCTCCCTCACCCCAATCTTCTTGCTCCTCTGTATCAGATCGTGCACCGATCCACCCTCCATCATCCTCATCACCACACAAAGCCCGTTGCACTCCTCGATGCAAATACCCACAAACTGAACAATGTTTCTATGCCCGCAGGTCATAAGTTGTAGCAAATCTTGTCTGATTTCGAATTCATAAGCACTTCCCTTCTCACACCCTCTCAGCTTCTTGATCCACACCTTCTTCCCTCTGTAAACCCCTTTAAACGAGGTTAGTCCGACTTGGTCGACGAACTCGATCTCTTCGGAGCTAATCATCCATCGGGAAACCTCGTCGCCGCACGACCGAACCGCCCCCCACTCGTCGACACCGACCACGATCGACGACTCGGGCAGCGGGCACGGCAACTGAATCTGATCCCCGTCGAACCCTCCGTCTTCCTCGACATTTCTCGAGTTCTCGTCCTGGCATCCGCACAGCCCAAATGGCAGCTTCACCCCCACAATATTCGCTGCGCTTCCTGAACCGCGATCTATCGCCGCTCGATTCCTCGCTTCGCCCTTCTGGCCCCCGCTCCGCACCGAAACCACCACCACCCCGAGACTCACCCCCTTCTTCTCAAAGATCTGTACCTTCTTGCAGGCAAATTCAGGAGCCGCGTCAAGCGAGCTCGAGAACGGCGCGCACGGAGACCAGAGCAAGCCCAGGCGAAGCTGAGCCTGAGGGCGGCGCCGGCCTCGTCCTCGCTCCTGCCCTGCTTGCCTGGATGTGGACCGCAGGCGCGTTCGTCCGCGGCAGGCCTGCTCGACCAGCTGGCGTTGCTAGCAGCACGTCCTTACATTTGCGAACGCGCGACGCCTGCGCGTAGCTGCGCACATTTCGCAGCGGTTTGCACACATAGTAACGAACGTATCCAAATGTCAAGCGGTCGTGATCGATTCCGGTACTGTCGGGAGGCGAGTCGAAATGCCGGCGAGTCATGTGAGCAGCTTGTCGGGCACATTGTGAGCCGGGGTAGAGCGAGGAGGCTACCGGACCAGGGAACCGCCCCAAGGCCAGGCAAGGTGAAGGCTTGAGGCCCGGAGGAGGCGAGTCGAAGAGGTTGGTTAGCTGGAGAGGAGCTGGGCAGATTGTTGCGGCCGAGGCGCTGCCATTTCGTTAGTGGGGGCGCGGCCACAGGAGAGGGAGGGCGCGAGGCGAGGAGGAAGGAGGAGGGGAGAGCTCGGGAGCGGTCGGGGTTTTTCATGAGGACCTGCTCGACCAGGTCCTCATCCGGTGCTTGGCCGGCCTGACCAGCATTGCCTAGGGCTGCCGCCATTTCCTCAGTTTTTAGGGGGGCGGCAGTGCAATTCTTTTTTTTTTTTTTTTTTTGGGGGGGGGGGGAGGGGGGGGGTTATCAAGGATTATTGATGGCGGATGAATCGATGGTGTGAGGCTTTTTGGGGGAAGGGTAGAAGGATGCAAGGGATGGGAGACGCTTTTTGAATGGAAGCTCGCGCCAGCATGGAGGAGGTTGGGGGGAATGGAGGTGGGGTCTTGGGATGGAGACGCTGTCCCCTACTTTTCTCTTTATTTTTTCTAGGTTTTTTTTAAAATTAATTAAAAGAAAAAGATTTTTGACACATGTAGGCTTGTACATATTCAATTTTTTGTTTATTCGGAAGATGCTGCATTTGCATCTTTCACGATCATCACCAAGTTGTACGAGTCACACAGTTGCATTGTGGAGGTTAGATACGGAAATATTGATGGGCTTTACATAATATTCAATGGCCCGGAAAAAGCTAAAATAAATTTAAGTGTACTGAAGTGTCGAGCTGCTTTATCATTTAATTTTAGTTTAATATTTATGTTGGTGTATAAGAGCATCTCCAAAAGCTTCATCATAATTTCTCTAAAATGAAGAAGCAAAATGTCAAATTCTCTAAAAAAGGTTTGCTCCAACTCCAACAGCTTCCCTATTTTAGGGATTTAGACATTTATTACAACTATAAAACATCCTACAAACTCAATAATAATTAAGAAAATAAATGTTTGATATTTTATTATAACAATATAAGACTCAATAAAGTATTAGATATATATTTTTTTTCTTCTTTGGAGAATGTGAGATATTTATGATAATGTTACTTTTAAGAATTTGAAGAAGGAAGAATTTTGGCAGAATGCTGCAGATTTGGAGAAAGATCCTCTTTTTTTCTTCTTCATCCCCATTTTAAGGAATGAGATGGAGAAACAGTTGGACCTAAAAATAGTTGTATATTCTCCAAAATTAAGTATTTTAAGAAGATGAGAAAGCTGTTGGAGACGGTCTAATGCATATGGAGACATGCGCCTTAAAGACAATCTATTAATCGTAACGTGTATTACACATTAGTACGAGTCTCAAAATAAATCTAATTGGTAAAAAGTCGACGGCAGAGCTCTAAGCCCACCCAAGTTTATCTAAGTTCTACTCTAATAATTATGTAATTTTAGTGTTCGATTTTAAACACTATAAAAATAAGTATAGAAGATATATTGATAAAAGTTTCAAATCCGAAATTTTCACAACCCTTATTCCTTTTAGGTCAGAAAATCACGAACAGAATCAAAGCAATCATGTATGAAGCATATTAGTAGTTACGATATGCACTAACTAGTGTGCACCCTGTGCAAAACCACGACCTTTATTTTTTTTTTTTCGTTACAGTAATTCTATATTTAAATATAATTTTTATAAATGCTACAATAACTTTTCAAAATACTATCGTATCCTCCTAAGCTACAGTAGTAATATTATAGTAATATTTTTAACCGCTACAGTTCTTGCATGTGCCGTAGTAATAATGCTACATCAATTTATTGTATATTGAATAGTGAACCTTGGATCCTCCTGTTTGTGCTACAGTAATAATACTACAGTAATTTACTATAGTACTACTGTAGTATGAATAGTGAATCTTGAATCCTTCCGTTATTCCAGATGAATAGGTATAATTAAGTATAGACAAAAGTTCATCATTTTCTCCCTTAAAATACATATATGGCATTAGTACGTTGAAGTGATAGATAAGCAAAATGCCAAAAGCATTGAATTTGAAGGGTAGGTAAACAAAAATCTCTTTCTACAATTGTTTATACCTTTTTATTATTCCCTTATCTGTTTGTTAGCAACTTTGTGAACATGTTCTTTGCCGAACAATTATTTCCCCCCCTAATGCATACGTTTTAGATGCATATCCTTATCGCAACAAATATTGATTTGAAAAATAATGAAAGCGTAGAGGCGGAACGGGAGGAGCTGGTAGCGACGGTGGGTGTAAATGCGTTGCATGTGACTTTTTTGTTTCTGCTCAGAACGGTTAAAAAGGTCCCCAGAAACGGTCATTGGCTCCCTGCAACAGTACTGCAAGGGAGCAGGCAGATCTTTATGCATTCATTTTCGGTTAAATTTCGCAGAAGCCCCCCCGAAGTTCTGCTTCTGGTTCCCAAGAACCCCCTGAAGGTGCGGGTGTCCCACAAAAGCTGATAATTTTTGAAGTTCCCTAACGGAACCTGACGGTGTCGCCCATTAGCAATTTTCTGGGGTCCGTGGGAAAATTTGAAAGTTCAAGCAGGTTTTGTGAGTAAGGGTCGACAAAAATATAAAATATCCATCTCTCTTAGGATGCGGATATATATGATTACTAAAATTCATATTCTATCTATCGATTCTATAGGATATATAGCAAAATATCCAAATCCATATCGGATATGTTATAAATACCGATATGTAGCATAATATTTTGATCTATATCCAAAATATCTAAATATTTATTAGTCATGCAATTGTAATAATTTTAATCATGAGATTAATAGATTTGAGGTTAATTATGATGATCAAAAGATCTAATCTTTTAGCTTTTTCGGCATAACAAACATATTAATGAACTCTCGTGTATTATATGAATTGTATTTTTTTCAATATTATCTAAGGCTCTGTTTAGATACCATGGTGTTTTATTTGTTTCCATGGTGTTTTTACCGAAAACAAAACACTATGCGTTTGAAAACCATGGTGTTCTTTTTAGCTAAATCGTCATCAAACCATAAAACACAACACTTATATCAAAACACATTTTAGGTGTTTTGGTCTTGAGTTTGAGAACGTGTTAATATAATATCTAACATAATATATTAAATGTAACTAATATAGAGTTAATATCAACATGCTTATTATATTATACTATACTATATTATAGTTAATTTAATATATTAGTAATATTTATTAAATAATATAAAATTATAATAAATAAAATATCTTATATAATAATATAATAACATATTAAATACCAGTATTTAATATATTAATAATATATTATATAATAATAAATAATAATAAAACATAAATAAACTAATAAAAAATTTATTGATAATAAGTAATAATATAATAATGATATAATAGTATACTATACAATAGTAAAATCACTATAATATTATAAATTTTTTAATAAATAAATTATAATAAAATTAATAACTATAAAATATTATATAGTAGTAACATATTTAATAGTAAAATAATAAAATAATAATGATGTTATAATAATATATTGTATAGTAAATGTAATAAAATATAAACAATATTAATATATTATATAATAAATAATATAATCTTTTATAAAGTAAGATAATTTTTAATAATAAAATAACTTATTGCTAACAAATGTTAATGTAAAAATAATATATTCATAATATAATAATTTTTTTTATATCATAAATACTAATATATTATTAAAGTACTATAATAAATTCTAACATATTAAAAACTATGATATATTATATAATATTATAAAAATTATAATATATTAATTTATTAATAACATAATATTAACATTATTAATAATAGGGAAATGTGTTCCTAAGCTGATGCCTTAGATAATCAATTAAGGACGCGACCTAAAATCACATGATTGAGCTACATTGTGAATGATCCGCTCCGTTAAACTTGATCTACATATTCTAAAACCCTAACGCACCAAGTTTGGGGTGAATTCATCGTCGTTTGACCCTCCGTTGAGCCATGTAAAAAGTTCTATTCATTCGAAACCGTTAAAATTGATACGAGTGGATGAAGGGTCAAACGATGACAAGTTCACCCCAAACTTGGTGTGTTGGGATTTTAGAATATGTAGATCAAGTTCAACGGAGCAGATCATCCACAATGTAGCTCAATCATATTATTTGAGGTCACGTCCTTAGATGATTATCTAAGGCGTCACCTTAGGAACACTTCTCCCTTAATAATATTATATTATATAAATAATAGTATACTATTATATTATATTAATAATAAAATAAGATTATTATAAAAATATTAATATAATAACAATAATAACAAATTGATATATCAAAATAATTACATATATAATTATTTAAAAATAATATGTAATAATTATAATATAATTATAATTATAATATAACATAACTCATTGAAGTACAATATAATATTATAATATATTATGCAATATTATATTGCATTACATTTAATACTTATAATAATATAATAATGTAAAATAAATATTATAACATTTTATTTATAATATATTTTTTATAATTAATATATAATATATTACTAATATGTTTAATACTAATGTTATATTGGGTCAAACTAGTGTTGACCAAAAATAATTAACATGATCTTTTGAAAACATTTTAAGGAAAAAACACAACACCGTGGTTTTTTCAAAAAAAACACAACAAAGAAAACACCGTGGTATTCAAACGAAGCCGAACTTTTCTCTCTCTCCCTTTTTTTTCACTCGAGTTTTTTCTTTATTTATTAATTTTTTTTAATTTTTAAATTTTATTTAAGTTTTAAATTATAAAAAAGACAAAATAATAATAGTAAAATAATAATTTTATTAATCACTTAAAATAACATAAATTATAAATAAAAAATTATAAAAATAAATTCTTTATTAATAATTAATAAATCATTTACAAATTACAAGTATAAATTTATTTTGGAATTCATCGCATCACAATAGATAAGTACATCCCAACTATGTTTTTTTTTTAATTTCTTTTCTTTTCTTTTTTTAATAAAAAATACTAAAAATTAGTTTAACATTATTATATTTTATATAATTATGTATTAGTATATACTTACAAATTAGTATGTAACTATATATTATATATACATATATTATATGTATATATATTGTATATATTTATAAGTTATAACTTGAGAGAGAGAGAATCGCATAAGTAGCCGTTGCCCGTTGGGCCAATGGGGAAGAAGTAACCGCTGTAATATACTATACTTATATACTAAGAGAGAGAGTATACACACACACACACAAACACATATTATACATATATAAGAGAGAGTATACTTATATAAGAGGGAGTATACATATATAAGAGAGAGTATACTTATATATACATATATACTAAGAGAGAGAGAGTATATATACACACACACATATATTATACATATATAAGAGAGTGTATACTTATATATACTTATTTGCGGTACACCTAAAAGTTGAACCACCCAAAGTTCAAGTGAGTTTCTTGAAATTCACCTCTATTTTCCTCCTTTAAACATGAAATTAGGTAGTTGTTGCTTGCATAAACTGGTGAAAAAACGGAAGCCTTTCAAATGGGGATTTTGTGATTTTGTGGGTGGATGGGACGAAGAGAGAAGCTGGGCTTTGCGTTTGCGTGTGCGCTAGCTGGTGAAGGATTAAAACATTGTCATCTCGTCACGAGAGGGGAAACGTCTACTGTTACTTTTGATTTCTTTTCCTGTTCTCTGGCCTTTTCATTTGTTTTTTTCTTCTTTCCTTTTGCTTGCTTTTAGAAACTGGTATTTTGTGGTACAATATGGGATATACGATTCCAGACCTCTTGTTCACAACAAAAAGGCCATAAATTAAAAAGGTTCTCTATAAGTTTTACTATTGTTACTACAACATCATTGTGTGAAGGCATGTTCATTTTCATGGATTGGATTAAATATCATGTAAATTATCTTAAAGTCCCTCTAATAAGCAGACCATATACTTAGAGTTATGATGTGATGAGAATTGAGAGTTATATTTTTTATATTATAATTTGTTCTTGCAAATTGAGCACTTTATTTTTTATATTTTTTGCATCTTAAAATCCATTTAAATATTACACTAAATTTTTTAAAGTTACGATGATGATTGAGAATTATATTTTTTAGGTTACAACGTCTTACATGTCAAAACATTTTACAATGCTAGGACAAAGTATTGATGGGAGGGGGGGTCTCTATATTTTTTTCCCCTGAGTATCTACTTTTCACGAAATTAACAATAGATTATTTAAGGGTGTGTTTGGATTTCAATGAGGTTAAGGGAAGTTAAGGAAAACTAGGTGAGACAATGGAAGGGAAGAGAAGGGAAGTAAGTTCCCTTCCCCTTGGTTACACCCCAATTTAAGGGTAACAAATTTTATACTATTAAGGGGTGAACTAAGGGGAACTAGGGTGAATAACTTCACCTCCTAAATGTTCCCAAACAATGTGAATGGTTCCCCTAACTTCCCTTCTCGCTTATTCTCCTCAATCCAAGCAAGCCCTAAGGGTACGAAACTTCAAAAACAAACAAAATATATGCTTGAAAATAGAATAATGATTTTGAAAACAATTGAGATCGCAGATTTTCAATTTACACCCCTTCATCCAGACAACCCCTTAATTAACCTACATGAAAATACCACGCTTCTAGATAAGTGGTCTCCATTGTATATATATCCACGTTATGGGAGCAACCAATGATGAAGTCATCAGCAAACTTTACGGAAGCTCTAAAAAAAAATTATCTTCACCTTATATTAATAGAAGAAAGGGCTCCAAGATCACAATCCCGTTGTTACGCCCATTTCAATGTCCATCTTTGATCCGAACGCAAATCTACTGACATTTGGTCCAAAAGAAATAAGTGGTCCAGCCTCAGCAAAGATAGCTTATCTCACTAATCAAAACGGTGGTCACAACATTATTAATAACATGATTAAATATCTATTCATTAGACTAAACCAAGCTACTAATTAACCAAACTGAAGTAGATGAAGGGACCACGAATACTAAAGCACCGTTTTTAGTTTTATGGTTACCTGACTTCTTGCTCCATTTGGGTCCACAGGATTTATATATTCTCGGATAAAATCATTAGACGGCTCAATGACCGGTATTGTTCCTTCTCTTTTTATATCATGTATATGTATGTATTCATTTAAAGAAGTTTATAACTGATGCTCATTTGCTAAAATGATTGATGAGGCTCTATATTGTAGATAAAAACTTTACATGTTTTTATCATTTTATGGAGTTGGGAGGCAAGAGCTCAGAGTGACAAAATATATAATAAAGTTTTGATCCAGCTATACAAACTGCATACAAACTGATGTTTGTTTGACAATATTTCATGGGTTGGCCATACCAACCCCATACAAGTTGATACTTGTTTGGAAATCTTTCAATGGTTAACTTAACAAACTCCAAGTGTTTAGACTCAAAAAGTTTAGTTTAACTACAGCCTAGCGATCCCTTCACTTTTCATTCTCTGTCTCTAGCTCATAAATCCTCTCCAATAGAGATCCAGACCCTTCAACAAAACCCAAGGGTTTATTTGGTAACTTCAAGACGGTATTGGACTAGACTATCTTAACTAGGGCAAAACTGAACAATATAAGGGTTGGCTCCAAAAAAAAAAAAAAAAAAAAAAAAAAAAAA